AAAAGTGAAAAAGAGTCAAGCCCTATTGACCACCCCTCTCCTTCCCTCAATCAACGAGTTGTAAATAAACACCCCAACTACCCCAATTTTAATAATTCAACTTAATGTGAAAACCAACTATCCTATCTGGCCCATCTCACAAAATGAAGGAGATTAATAGTTAGGTGTGGCTTATCTAGAAATAGCTGTTCCAGCTCAGGTGATAAGCTGGGAGATGGTTCTAAAGCTATATTAATGCTTTTTTAAAATTGAGAACCATAGCCCTGACCAAAGAAAACACCTTTCTACAGACAACTGTAAAATAGCTATCATTCCTTGGCTATCATGAAAAATGCTGCAATGAACACAGGAGCTCAGATGCCTCTTTGAGATACTGATTTTATTTCCTTTGGAAATATACCCAGAAGTGGGGTTTCTGGATCATAAGGTAGTTCTATTTCCAATTTATTCAGAAACCTCTATAGTATTTTCCATATGACTGTTACCAACTTACATTTCCACCAACAGTATACAAGGGTCCCCTTCTCTCTACATCCTCACCAACAATATACAAATCATTTTTCTCTTTTTTTTTAATTTTAATTTTTTTGGTAGAGATGAGGTTTCATTATGTTGCCCACGCTAGTCTCAGACTCTTGGGCTCAAGCAATTCTCCCAGCCTTGCTCTCCCACAGTACTGGGATAATAGATATGAGCCACCACGCCCAGCCAATATACAATTTTTATTTGTTGATTATATCTTAATACAATTGGGAGAAAAAAGTCAGGATACCAGTTTTCCTTGGGGTGGCAGTGATTGAGAGGGAGCACAAGGGGGACTTCCAGGGTGCTGATAATGAACTGGCAGGATAATAGCTATCATTCTCTACGTGTCATCTGCTGCAGCTTCTGGCAATTCAGGGTCATTGCTAAAATGCTAAATTGTTGACAATGTAGAAGTCCTTTGGAAACACAAAGAAATCTTAACTCATGCCACCTCATCATATGCTGTTGAATCTGCAGGCCTCAGGGAAACTGAGCTCTCAAAAAGTACCTGTTGCAACCAGGTTTTGTACTAACAATATAATTTTCATTCATAAACCAATGATTTTGTCAGCATATTACCCAGTGCCTTCCAAATGCTGCAGAGGGAGGCAAAAGACACAATCCTTGCCCTCAGAGAGCAGACAGTTTTTTATAAGGAGCAAGGACCTCCCAGTGGTAGCAATAACAAAAGAAGCAGCAGAAAGGGTTCAGATGCTGAACTTAAGAGAAATTTCAGGTCAGGTACAGCGGCTTGCACCTGTAATCCCAGCACTTTGGGAGGCCAAGGCAGGAGAATCGCTTGAGACCGCAAGTTTGAGACCAGTCTGGGCAAGAAAGTGAGACAAAAAACAAATAAATTAGCTGGGCATAGTGGCGTGCACTTGTAGTCCGAGCTACTCAGAAGGCTGAGGCAGCAGGATCGCTTGAGCTACGGTATTTAAGGCTACAGTGAGCTATGACTGTGCCACTGCACTCCAGCCCAGAGGACAGAGCAAGACCCTGTCTCTAAAAGAAAATGTACTAAACAGAAAGATTAGAAAAAAAAAAGCAGACGGGCCGGGCGCGGTGGCTCAAGCCTGTAATCCCAGCACTCTGGGAGGCCGAGGCAGGTGGATCACGAGGTCAGGAGATCGAGACTATCCTGGCTAACATGGTGAAACCCCGTCTCTACTAAAAATACAAAAAACTAGCCGGGCGTGGTGGCGGGCGCCTGTAGTCTCAGCTACTTGGGAGGCTGAGGCAGGAGAATGGCGTGAACCCGGGAGGCGGAGCTTGCAGTGAGCCGAGATCACGCCACTGCACTCCAGCCTGGGAGACACAGCAAGACTCCGTCTCAAAAAAAAAAAAAAAAAAAAAAAAAAAAAAAGCAGACGTAAAAAAGAAAAATGTTTTTAAAATAAAATTACTGAAATTACCACCTCAAAATAAATATTTTCAACACAATTAGTATACATTATATCAGATATCCCCACCATGTCACTACATGTGTATTTTTTCCACAAAAATGAAAACATACTATATCTAATTATAACTTCTTCAAAAGGCTTTACAAAGTCCTATTTTATTTTATTTTATTTTATTATTTGTGTGTGTGTGTGTGTGTGAGACAGAGTCTCGCTCTGTCACACAGGCTGGAGTGCAGTGACGCTATCTCAGCTTACTGCTACCTCCGCCTCCCGAGTTCAAGCAATTCTCCTGCCTCAGCCTCTAGAGTAGCTGGAATTACAGGCAGTCACCACCACACCCCACTAATTTTTTTATATTTTTAGTAGTGACAGGGTTTCACCATGTTGGTCAGGCTGGTCTCAAACTCCTGACCTCAAGTGATCCACCCGTCTTGGCCTCCCAAAGTACTGGGATTACAGGCGTGAGCCACTGTGCCCAGCCCCTACTACAATTGTTAATACTTCTCCATTTAGAAATGTGGAGCTACATCATTTTAATTGTCTGCACTCTCCCTTAAGTGACTCCCTATTGGTTAACTTCTACATACATCTTTATATGTAGTTACCTAAATAAGTGACTTTACTTAGGACACATTCCTGCCTGTGAAAATATGGAGTCAAAAGTAAGGTGCTGGCTTTGGAAGGGGTGTGTGTGTGTGTGTGTGTGCGCGCGCGTGTGTGTGTGTGTGTATGCCAACTGCCCTTGAGTTAATAAGTTGAACCAGTGTTCATTCCATGAGCAGTGGGTATGAGTGTCCATCCCGGACATTATAATTAAAAAAAAATCTTTGCCAATCTACTAGGCAAGAAATGGTATCTGTTGTTTTCTTGTGGATTTATATTGTTAGTAAGAATAGCCTTTTAATAACACCTTTATTGTTAATTGATATTGCTTACTTTTTTGGTTGTAACATTTTCCTTAATCTTGCTATTAGTAATTTCATGTTTTTCCTATTGATTTATAAAAATGCTTCATCTCTGAAGGCTACTAAATTCTTTGCTCATTATATATAAAAGGAATATTTTTACTCAGTTATTTGCATTTTTACTTTATGTTTTTTGTTAAGAAGACATTTAAGGCCGGGCGCGGTGGCTCACGCCTGTAATCCCAGCACTTTGGGAGGCCGAGGCGGGCGGATCACAAGGTCAGGAGATCGAGACCACGGTGAAACCCCGTCTCTACTAAAAATACAAAAAATTAGCCGGGCGCGGTTGTGGGCGCCTGTAGTCCCAGCTACTCGGGAGGCTGAGGCAGGAGAATGGCGTGAACCCGGGAGGCGGAGCTTGCAGTGAGCCGAGATCGCGCCACTGCACTCCAGCCTGGGCGACAGAGCGAGACTCCGTCTCAAAAAAAAAAAAAAAAAAAAAAGAAGACATTTAAAATATGTATATAGTCAAGTCCATCAAAATTCTATTTTATGGTGTATCCCTTTGTTGTCATATATCTCTCTTTAGTACTACACAGTCACATTTATTTTCTCCCACTACTTTTGTATGTTTAATATTCATATTTACATCTATTATACATTTAGAGGCCACAATTAAAACCTACTGTAACTTTTTTAGAATCACATAAACTATATAAAATGTTTACCCCCAAATAATTTTTCTTTTAAATTTGGAGATGAGTCTCATGGAAAAAAATAATCCCAATGGTTCATTTCCAAAGATTGAGTACTCATATTAAATGACATGAAAATCTTGTTAGTTTTATGAGCTAACATTTTTATATCTTTTTTGGTCACTGATTGTATTCACTGTCTATATTCTGTCTTCTCCACTGCACTGGAAATGTCTGATGCATTAAAATAGTTACTTCTACCCAAGGCTGAGTACTTTGGGAATTCTCCATGAAATAGCCATTACCGGATCCACACAGCTCAGCACAGTATTTGGCATATAGTAGGCTCTTGCTAATTCAGTAAATTTTTTGTGTTAGGCACATACAAAACCTCTGGAAAATGAGCAAGACGGTAAAGGGTTAAAAAGGTATTTTTAGAAGCATTAATATAACAACGACATGTGGGATGAACAGAAATTGAGAGAGAGGAAGAGGGGAAGGAGAGACGGAAGGATGGAAGGTAGAGGGAAGAAGAAAGAGTGAAAGAAAAGTAGATCAACACATAGGAGGCCACTGTAAAGTCCAGGCTTCCACTGAATGGGCCTATACTAGGGAGGTGATAATAAAATTGGCAAGGGAAGGCCAAACCAATACAGCATTATAATCTTGCTGAAGGACTAAGTGAATAAAAGTTCCAAGGACAGAAACCAGGAAGGTGAGAAAAAGACAGTCTGGGCTTGGCAGAGCAGCGATAGGGTTTGGCATCAAACACAGTAAACTCGTTGGTGGGACAGCCAATCAGAGCTGCCTCTTAGACTGTCAAAGATAAAGGACTGCGGCACATAGCTAAGTGGACTAGGGGAAACATGAAAGGAAAACAACCTTTGCAGAGTCCCTACTTGGTACCAGACACTATAGTAGGTATTTTACCTACGGAGTTAAAGTTTATGTTTCAGAGTCACCCACACCTCAGTGATAGACAGAGAATCACATAGAGCTTGGTTAGATCCTAGCTCCATCCCTGCTAGCTATGTAGACGTTGGAACAGTTTACTCGTTTTTCTGTAAACCTTAGTTTCATCATTCAAGAAATTAGGGAAATAATAATACCTAACTCAAAGAAGCAAAATAAATGATATAATTCATAAACTGTAAATAACATGGTGCCTAAAATAAAAACGCAATAAAAGTTTGTCAATTAGTGAAAAAAACAAAAACAGAAACAAAAACAGAGAACTCAACAATTGGCTTTGGTCCATATTAAAGGATAGAAGGAATATTTAGAGATACTGAAAAGATAGGTATTCAAGGAAATGGGAGAAAACCCTGAAAACAGTATGTTACGGACATCATGGGGGCTAAGGGTTAAAGAAGGAGTTAATCAAATTTAGTCATGAGGATATAAAAATGAACCATTTGGCCCTGTTTGTTTTTCATGTAAATAAAGCAAATTTGGATAGCACTACATACCCAAAGTTGGTCATCCATCCCTGGTGGGTTCTTTTTGATAAAAGCACCATAGTATGTAGCAATATTCCGGTGATGAGAATATTTCTTCAACATGTTAATTTCTTGTTTGATTTCTTCCTCTTCATCCTGTATGAGAACAATATAAAAATTCTGTCATGAAAATCTATTGTTGTTAGTAGGATTCTCTTCTTCAACACCATCTCTAAATTCTTTCTTAAGGTTTTTCTTCCTTGGTGAAAAATAAGCATAATTATTACATATGAGGGCAAAGAACAATTCTAAAACATAACACATTGGCTGTCTAAGAGAGTCTTCTGTTTCTACAACAGGCATAGCACGATCTCTTGGAAAACAAAACAAAAACACCCCAAACAATCCCTCATCTCTTCACCTAGAAGAGATCAAGGTAGAAAGACTACTGAGATAAAATTCACTGTGGGCCTCTGGGAACTACATACATCAAGTAGCCATTACTGATCCTATCTGGTATAAGAAAGATTGAGGAAAGTAGAAGATATTAAAACCATGGGCTTTCAGATTTAAATTTTGTTAGGTTCATTTTCTTTGAAGGCTCCTTTCATTGAAGTACCTGACTGAAGATAATGAAAGTCAGATGGGAAAGGGAGCAAAGGTAAGTTCTCTAGATCTAAGGAAGTTCTCAAAGCAGGAGTACCCAGCTCACCTTCAGGAAACTCAGCTTAGAAAGAAAGGGGGAAAGGTGGTGGTGCTGAGGATGTAAAAAGAGACAACTCTGTTACAGAGTTAGTTTCTTAATATTCAGGTTTCATTCATTGTGAATTTTGATTTGGAATCCGCCAACCCGGACCCTTTTCAGAGGTCCTGGCAGTGCTGGTGGAGACGGTGTGACCTCCCATAATTTTATTTTCTTGATGTTTACACATTGGTTGGACTGCAGAAGAGTGTTTTATTGTTGAGGTTGGGGGAGAAAGTTTCTACCTCAGGATAATTTTTTTAGATGCAGCAGTAAGCTATGACTGTCCCTGAGTGTAAGATGTGACATTGCCATGACCTGAAAAACTACCCATGGTGTCCCTTGTCTGTACCCTCCTCCACTCGCTGCACTGCCTCCTTCCAGTGTCTCTGCATTACTGGGACTTCCTGCAGTCTCTCATGTGCTGTCTTCTTTCCCCAGCCTCTTCTTCACATAATCTCTACTCACCGTTCCTGATTGAGTTTGATCGACATTCACCAGGGATCTCTTCCTTAATTCTCTCAGGCAATGTCAAATCTCCCCACTGCATCTGGTCACAGCCCCTACACTCCTTCACATACCTGCTGCATTTGTTGACATTGGTATGGGGGTATGTCCCATGATTGCCCCATTATTCGACTCTCTTCTCCATATATTGTAAGCTGTCCTCTCCAGATCTTCAGATCTCAGTTCGAAAGTTCCTTCCCCAGCAAAGTTCCCTGATCTGCCCAATTTGGTTCTAGCCCCATGAATCATCATGTATCTTTTCCTTTGTAGCACCTATCAGAATTGCCACCCACATTTATCATTTGATTAAGGTCTCTTCTCCTTATCAGTATGTAAGAACCATAAACTCAGGAATCCTGCCTGTTCTCTACAACATCCCTAGCACCAAGCAAAGTGCCTGTGAATAAATGCAACTAAAAGAACAAATAACCGCAAAGAGCCCAATGCCTAGAGCAGCATTAGTTGATGTCAGAAGGAAGAGGTAAGAATAGAGTGAGGAGAGTAGTCAAGTGCTGACATTTGCTGACCATGCTTACTTACTAAAATAAGCTTTAGGAAAAAACGAACGGGATTTGCAAACCTAGGAGAAGTAAAGCATGTTACATATCACATGGCTTAACTAAGCTGAAGAATAGGTAATCTCAAAATAGAATATATGCTTGGGATGCTGAGCTAAGGAGAAGCATGTGGCCAGAACAGCGGGGAAGGGAGTCAAGGGGCGAGACAGGGGAAGGCACACTGCTAACCACCTATTCTTCTCAGCAGCTATCAGAAACCCCCCACGCCTTCACTGCAGGTCATGGAGAGAATGACCTTCACCGGCCTTCAACTTGTTGAAGGGCCCCTACAGCGCACCTCCAATGTCTTACTACGGTGCACAGTAGCTATTTTAAACTTGCTGTATGGGGCCAAATAATTGTGGATGAATGTAGGATGTGAGCAGATGTCCTCTGGGGAAGCCTAAATAGAAAAAGGGAGAAAAACGACCTGAGGGTTTCTGTGGGCAGCACAGCATCGACAGCTGCTTCCATTAAAAAGGCAACTACGTGAGGTAATAAAAGACACGGATCACTTTCCAACTGCAGCCTGTCAATCTTAGCATCAGTCATTCTTAGTGAGAAATCAGCCTGCTTCTACAAGTATTTACCGCTTGCCTCCTGGGTTCTTAGCAGGATAGTGGGTAATGTGGGAAAGACAGGGGAGCGGGGGACTGCCTATAAAAAGCTCACCATGTCATTAAGAAAATAAGAGCTTATAAAACAGTTAAATAACAGCAGAAGAACTATAATTAAATCCAAAATAAATAGTACTGGAGGTCAGAATAAAGTCAGTCATTCTCCATCATTTTTCAAAGGTAAACTGAGGCAATATGACAACAAGGACAGCGTATGCACTGAGTCTGGGATAAGAAAGATGAGGGTGGGCAGATGGGGTGCATGTTGAGTTTGGGTACCATTCCTTTCTGGCTGCAGGACCCCAAGAAAATCACCTACCTTTTTGGACTCTAAGTTTTCTCATTTATAATGAGATAAAGATATTTAAGTCTCAGCATTTTGTGGTAATTAGATAAAGGATGTGTGTTATCAAGTGTATTATGAAGTAAATGTTATTACTAATCTACGTAACCAAAAAATAAATAACTAAAAGGGCAGGAAGGCCAAAATGTAAATCACTTGAATTTTAGGTTTAAATTGCACTGTTTCCAAACACACTTATGGAACCACTGTAAGTCATGGTTAGGTAGTTCTAAGATATAAATCCTTGATCTTATGCAACCTTTTAAGTGAGCATGCAATTTAGCAGGCCTTACAGGGCTACTGTTTATCCAGATTTTTAGTCTAGGGCACAGATGGCAGTAAGTTATTCAGTGAAATAGGAAGGAAGAGCCTTACTAGTGACAAGAACTCATTTTACCATGCCGCAAAGACTTCGGCCTCTCACAATATGACCCATCAAGGGAGATGAGTTACAATGCTTTCCAAAAACACAAAGAGAGCAAGGGAGGCTAGAATTAAACTAAAAAGTTATAAGGGAGGAATATCCTCTATTTTGTAAATGTACTATTTCGAAATCTTAAGTATTAAGCACAAAGATCAAGCCCTCTGATAAACTAATGACCACTGGGCAATAATGAAAAATAAAGCTGTGGTACCAAATTATCACACATTTAAAAGAGTAACTTCAATAAGCCAAGTCCGGTACTGTAGGAAGAAGCATTACTTAAAGCAGAAAGACTTCCAAATCCAGTCATATTCATTATGTTAACCTCAGCCATGGCATTTAAACTCGCCAAATGTCAGTCATTTTCAGCTATAAATATGAATAAGAATACCTATGTAAGCCACTTCTCAGGGCTTAGAAATGATTAAGTGCTTAGTTAAATGTAGCTTTAGTATTAATATAAATAAGATAATATTATTTCTCAAGATCACAGGATCTACTTATTGCTTAGTGTTTGTGGTAGACTGAAAAAGAAAATGGCCATGATATGTGTCCTACCTGCATCAAGAGGTGGAGTCCATTTCTCTTCTCCTTGAACCTGGGCTTGGCCACATGACTTGCTTTGGTCAAGAGGACATTAGCAAATGGGATGCAGCAGAGGCCCGAAAAGCACTTGTGCCTTGAGACTGGCCCTCTCCTACAGCTTGCCAGAGAACCCTTCAGCCCCCATGTGAGAAACCGGGATCGGCCTTCCAGAAGATGAGAAACCATGGGAAGATAGGCAGTTTTCAAACCCAAGGAAATCGATAATTCCAGTTAATGCTTTTAAGCCACTGACCACCTCTGATGGCAACATGATGTCACCATGTGGTCATAAAATATAGCCAAAGCCAAACCCTCATGTCATGTTTACTGTCTACCAGCAGCTTTGTATGAACTATCTTACTGAGCACTCAGAACAGCTATGAAGCTGGATCCTATTTTACAAATGAGTAAAATGAGTCTCAGAGAAGTTAAGTAACTTTCCCAAGTTCACTCATATTTTAAACGTTAAAGCTCAGATTCAAGACCAGATTTGTCTGACTCCAAAGCCAGTATTCGTAATTTGATACAGAAAACCACTAGTCAAACGAAGGGCAATTATCCATGGTGACCAAAACCAAAGCTGTTAATCAGAAGAGTTTAAGAGCATCTTAAGCCAGGGTGGAAGAGAACCCTGACTTTGGTCTTCCAATTAAAGGAGCTTGTTAGCATACAATAATATTTGCTTATGATTGATTTCGAGGAATAAAGAACGGATTTTAAGTTGCAGATTGATTACACTGCAGAATACACTTTAAGTACCTATGATATGCTAGGATTTAAAAATGGAATAAAAAATGTATTATTAGTTATATGCTCTGTAATAAAGTCTGCCTAACATTTAACTCTCAATCTGTGGCACAGGAATAAAACTATGCAATTCCTACAGCAAGTCCAAGAGACTGGTCAGGATGAAGTCTAGAGAGAAGTATAAGGTGTACAGATTCATAAATGCCACCATCCCATAGATGGGTGAACACTAGCTAGAACCATCTCTGTTCCCGCTCATCTGCACGGCTTTCACAGCAGCTGTTGCCATTAAGCAGGTGTTTGTGTTATCTGTCATTCTCACCTTCAGCATTGACTGAATGTGGCAAAAAGTAGGAGACAATTTATCATTAAGGGACCACAGGCTACGAGAATTCGAAGGGATCGTCACTATGATCTAGAATGTGGTTTTAAAAAAGCTTCTAAAATAATCTGAAATAGTGAAATCCCTCCCTGCAATATAAGTTTTTTTCAGGATGCAAATATATAGCTGACAAAAACTAAATTTTTAAAATCAGTAAACATTTATTTAACTATGTAATATCTACTTATACAATTAGTCAATGACAACAAAGAAGTGTGAATACAAAATTAGAAAGAAATGTAAAGCTACACATCAGCTCCAATA